CTCAGCCTTCTGGCTCGCTACGTGGCTCCTGGCAGGCACCGAAAGGTGCACTGGGATGCTGCGAAGAGGGTGTTGCGATACTTGTGCAGTACATCGGGCATGGGGCTCGTGCTTGGAGGACGGGCTCGAGTTGTCCTCACTGGTCACGCTGACGCCTCCTTGGTTGACGTCTTGGCTACGTAGCGGTCGTCACAGGGTTACACTTTCAGTCTTGGCTCCGGCTCTGTCTCTTGGCGGTCTACCCGCTCTTCTTTTCTCAGCTCCAGTTGTGAGGCTGAGATCTACGCTGGAGCCATGGCTGCACAGGAGCTTCGCTGGCTCACCTACCTGCTGACCGACTTGGGAGAGGCGCCTCGTTCTCCTCCAGTTCTGTACGTCGACAAAAAGGTCATGTTGGCCTTGTGTCAGGAGCACAGACTGGAGCACAGAACGAAGCACATTGCTCTGCGCGACTTCCTTGCTCGAGAGTTGCAGCAGCGTGGCCAGCTTTGTCTTGCTTACGTGGCCTCTCAGGCCAACACTGCTGATGTTTTCACCAAGGCACTTCAGCCTTGTGATCATCAGCGTTTCTGTACTGTGTTAGGCCTTGTACCTACTGTGCCTCACTTGTTGACTTCTTGACTTTGCTTGTACTGTACTCTATATACTTATACCTGCATGCTTACACTTGCTAGGTTGTGTTTACTGTATTTTTTGCTTTCCTTTATATAACTCTGCATGTTAACTGGCCTTATGGCCCGTTGCTTGTGCTCAGACTGTGTGGTGACTTTGTGATCCACCCTGAGCTTGCTTTGTCTTTCTTGACTGGTCTTGTGACCCCTTGTTCTCCCCCACTTTGCCTATGGGGGTGTGTCAAACTTATATCTACTATAGTCTGTTTAGGCTGTAGTGGGGTAGTCCTTAGAGGGTACAACACTTTTGTGTTTCCTACTTGTACCCTTCTGTTTTCTAGTTCAATCATTCCTCAATTCTCACAATTCCTCAATTCTCACAGTGGTTGCACGCGTTTACGAGAGAACATGAGGACAGCAGCTCTTAGGTGCTAAGGGGCGTGAGTCCCTTCGAGTGAAAAAATCAAAAGTTGATTTCCTGGGGTGCGGAGATGCGCGGTCTGAAAGAAAGTGGCTCTGATAACCAAGTGTTACGGGTGCAATGAATCGAGGTAGCGAGGATTGCACTAGAGTGTTCAATGAGTACAAAATATGAGCGAAGGCATGAGCTAATACTTATACGCGAGAATGTGCAAACCAGGCCCTACGATATCAGGAAATTTTCCCTGAAATTTCTTATTTTCATGGATTTTTTTGTACCTACCCTGATTTTCCAGTGTTCAGCCTTTTGGGGGACTGATTTTTCAGCCTTTAAGGGCCAGATGGTTCTGAACTTTCAGGTTTTTTTTTTAAGGGACACTGATTACACTACGTTGTAACGAAACTGACACTGAATGCGATTCCTACACGTTCCGAGTGTAGTTGTCCGGAAGTACAGGGAATCTCAGATTCCCGCGGTGTCAGCACCGCAAGGCGGTGACTACCAGACAAATTTGCCCCGTGTTATTCGCTTTGAGGGCTGCTTTGTTGGCGCGCTTGGTCCGATCATTGGCCACTTTTGCAGCATTATGTGGATTGACCAATGACAAGGTTGCAACAGAGTGATGCTGGCAGGCTGCGATGTGAGGGTTTCTGGCCCATTGCTTGCACCTGTGGTCTTGTGGCCCGTTTTGTATAAGTCGTGCTGGCAAGCACTAATGCATCCACGCCGCCCAGCCGTGCTACCTGCCATCCAGGCTCCCATCCCATTCTGCTCTATGCTTTCCTTCCATCCGCTTGGGGTTTCATTGCGTTCCTGCCTAGTGTTATCTTATTTTTAGTTCAATATCAGCCTTTACAAAAAGGGAACACTGATGCATCAGACTTTTTTTGAAGGTAACACTGAATTTTCATGCTTTTTTTTTTGGGGGACACTGACGATCAGGGATTCTACACAGAGGGACCCTGATGCACTAACGTGCCTAAAAGTGAATCATAGGCCTTGGTGCAAACGGTAACGCGGTGCGTGCGAGCTAGCTAGTGCTACGGTACGTTGGCGCGAGGTTCGGGCTAGTCCCGAAACGTGTTGAAATGTATTCGTTTACATTTATAACTGCCTGCAATAGAACCTAGTGTAGTTATGAGATCTTGCAGGTGGTGTACAATTCTTTCATCTTTTGCCTATATCTTGTACCCTTGTTCATTATTGAAACCCTCTTTTGACAAACCTCTCTCGACATGTTCCTCTCGACTCTCCTTACCTCTCACCTCTCTCGTAACCTAGCTATGGCTCCTAAGCTTAGCTAGTTACGATTTCGACATGCTATCAGAGTAGGTCGCTTCTAGGACCTAATGTTCATGGGCCCACCACCAAACCCGCCATCTCCGATGGCTGCCCATTTTTCTGCTGCAGCAACTCCACGAGCTGAAGGCTTCGAGCTCGCTTTTGTGCGTGGTCCACGGGCGTTTCGCGAGTGCGTCGGGTACGTGCGTTGCGCACGTGATTTCTGCGCGCTTCGGGACAGCGCCCGTGGCCCTTGTCGCTCGCCTTGTCGCGCGGACCACGCTGTCTCGTTGCCCCGCCGCTGCAGCCCTCGCTGGATGCCCCCCCCCCCCCCCTCGTCGCCCTGAGCTGTTTCATCGCCCCACGGCCTCGCCTGCACCGTCGCCAGCCCCACGCACACTCGTCACGCCGCCCGTGCGCCTGCTCGTCGAATGAGCCACCGTCTGCCTGACGCGCTGCACCCGCGACCCCCGGGCCAGCCCACAGCTTCCCCCCCACGCCCCACCCGTCACGCCCCAGCATTTTACCCCACCCCCCCTCGCGTCGGCCCCACTGTTGCTGCCGCGTTTGCTCCTGCTGTGTGGGGGGAGGGGGGTGAGTTAGGGGTGGTGGCCGTGAGTGGGGGTGACGGGGGTGGATGCCGTCGCGGCTCTTGTCACTTCTGCTGCTCGTGCAACTGTGGAGGGGGTGGAGGTGGTGGGAGTGTGTTAGAATTGCCATATTCTAGCATGCTAACACTTGTGACTGTACACCAATTGTGGTGTACAGTTGGGTTGGGACTACACCCAACTTTGGGTGTAGTCTTGCACTTTGGGGTGCCAATCCAACCCAATTGTGGTGGAGCCCCCAAATGCAACCCATTGGGCCATAGGTTGGCCCACTCTCACAAAGTAAGGGCCAACCCAACCCAATGGGCCATAGGTTGGCCCACTCTCACAAAGTGAGGCCAACCCAACCCAATGGGCCATAGGTTGGCCCACTCCCCCAAGTATGGCCAACCCAACCCAATGGGCCATAGGTTGGCCCACTCCCCCATTCCCACCTCCCTCCTTTCCCTTCCAACCTTCTCTTCCCAAAGCTATGTATGCTTGCAAAATACTCTAATGAAGTTAATGCTTGAGTTTCCTTTCTTCACATGGTATAGAGCTAGATTCTCCTAACCTTCCCTTCCCCATCCCATTTTTTCTTTCCCAAGGGCCCACCACACACACACACACTTCCCTCGCGCCGCGACCGTTCCGTCGCCGTCGTCTTCTCCCCCTCTCCCCCTCCTCATCTCGGCTCCTTCTCGCCGCGACCTCCCCATCGCCGCGTCCCGCGGATTTCGCCGCCAAGTCCCGTCGATTTCGCCGCCGCGTTCTCTCCGCCCGCGGATTTCCCGCGAATTTCCCCGCCGCCGCGGATTTCCCGCGCATTCCTCGCGGATTCCCTCGCCACCGCGGATTTCCCGTGGATTCCTCTCGCATTCCCGTCGCCGCCTGCCCTCCCCGCCCTCGCGACCTTTTTCGTCGCGGATTCCCCGCGGACCCCCCCGCCGCCACGAAATTCCCGCGGAATCCCCGCGGATTTCTGTCGCCGCCTGCCCTCCCCGCCCGCGACCTTTTCGTCGCGGATTACCCGCGGATTCCCACGCCGCCGCGACCTTCCCGCGGAATCCCCGCGGATTCTCGTCGCCGCCTGCCCTCCCTGCCCCCGCAACCCCTTCGTCGCGGATTACCCGCGGAAACCCCCGCCGCCGCGACTTTCCCGCGGAATCCCCGCGGATTCTCGTCGCCGCCTGCCCTCCCGGCCCCCCGCGACCTGTTTCGTCGCGAATTCCTGCGACTCTCCTACGGCATTCCCCGTCGCCGTGTATTCCCCGCGTATTTCCCGCGGAGTTCCGTCGCCGCCTGCCCTTCCAGCCGCCGCGACCACGCTGTCGCCGCCTGCGCACTCCTCCCACCGTGATCGCACTGCCATCGCCCGCGGTTTCCGCCGCCGCGACCACCTCGTCGCCGCCTGCCCTTCCCACCCCCTCCCCCTCTCCTTGCAGCTACAGCAGCGGCGACAGCAGCAGCAGCGTCAGCGGCAGCAGCAGCAGCAGTGGCAGCAGCAGCAGCAGCGGCAGTGGCAGCACCAGCGGCAGCAGCGACAGCGGCAGCAGCGACAACAGCAGCGGCCGCGACAGCAGCAGCAGCAGCGGCTTCCCCCGTAGCAGCAACAGCACCGGCAGCAGTGACATCGGCAGCAGCCGTGCCAACCGCGCCCGTGACTGCTCCCTCCTTCCCCTCCCCCTCCCCTCCTCTCCCTCCGTTACTCCCTCTCCCCCCCCTCTCCTCGACACCGCCGCAGCAGCTACAGCCGCGGCAGCAGCGGCAGCGGTAGCGGCAGCAGCAACAGCAGCGGCAGCAGCGGCAACAGCGGCGGCGGCAGCAGCGGCACCACCAGCATCCCCAGCAGCACCACCAGTGGCAGCTGCGCCAACCGCGCACGTGACTGCACCCTCCTTCCCCTCCCCCTCCCCCCCTCTCTCTCCGCCTCTCCCTCTCCCCTCTCCTCGCAGCAGCGGCAGCAGCTACAACCGCGGCAGCAGCAACAGCAGCAGCAGCAGCGGCAGTCGTGTAGGCCGCGCCCGTGACTGCACCCTCCTTCCCCTCCCCCTCTCCCCCTCTTCCTCCGCCACTCCCTCTCCCCTCTCCTTGACTCAGCGGCAGCAGCTACAGCCGCGGCAGCAGCGGCAGCAGCGGCAGCAGCAGCAGCAGCAGCAGCAGCAGCAGCAGCAGCAGCAGCAGCAGCAGCAGCAGCAGCAGCAGCAGCAGCAGCAGCAGCAGCAGCAGCAGCAGCAGCGGCAGCAGCAGCAGCGGCACCAGCAGCAGCAGCGGCGGCTGCGGCAGCAGCGGCATCCCCAACTGCAACGACAGCACCGGCAGCAGCACCACCAGTGGCAGCCGTGCCCGCCGCGCCCTTGACCGCACCCTCCTCCCCCTCCCCCTCTCCCCCTCTCCCTCCGCCTCTCCCTCTCCCCTCTCCTGCCAGCAGCAGCAGCAGCCGAGGCATCCCCAGCTGCGGCAGCAGCAGCGGTGGCGGCAGCAGCAGCAGTTGCAGCAGCAGCGGCAGCAGCAGCAACAGCAGCAGCAGCAACAACCGGAGGGGTCCAGCAGCAGCACCTCCCCCTCCCCCTGGCCGCCGCGGGTCCACCCGCCGTCGCCTCCCCCTTGACCGCCGCGGGTTCACCCGCCGTCGTCTCCCCCTTGGCCGCCGAGGGTCCACCCTCCGCCGCCCATCATGGCTACCACCCCTCCTGTTCCTCTCCCCCCTCCTATCGACGCCTCTTCGGTTGACAAGCTGCAGCTTGCTGCAGATCGTTCCGCCATCAACTGGCACTCGTTCGTCGGCAGCATTCGCTGCGTCCTTCAAGACGCCTTCGTCGGACCCTACTGCGTCCTTGACGTCCTCCTTCGCCCTCCGCAGGCTCTCCAACCGACCGCACCCAATCACCCTGGCGAACCTCCTCCCCTCCCCCCCCCCGCCCTGGCCCCCCTCCTCCTGAGCCTAACCTGACCGTGGCTACTGCCCCCGAGCTTCAGGCTGCTGCGGACGCCACCTTCCTCCACAACCGCCGCGAATACCTCATCCGCAAGGCCGACCATGACGTTGCTCTCCTCAACTATGAGTTTGCCTCGTCAGAGCGTTCCACTCGCCTGGAGCTGATTGCCGAGTACACCACCTCCATGGCGGCTTATGTCCCCAACAGCATCTCCTGGGCCGCTGCCGACAACCGCGCTTGCACCATCCTTCTTGGTGCTCTCCCCGACGCCCTCATGCGCCGCTTCCAAGCTCGCGAGATGCGCGCTCACCTCATTTGGACCGAGCTCCAGTCTATGTTCGAGCGTCGCGACATCAGCTCTGTTGGCGTTCTATTCCAGGAGTATTTCTCCATCACCCTCGCCACCTGTGACGGCACAGTCGACTATGTCGGCCGCATGCAGGAGGTTGCCGATCGCCTTGCCGCTCGCCAGGCTGCCCTTTCCAAGCCCCTGCAGATCCACCGTCTGCTCTTCAACCTCACGCCAGACTATGAGTCCCGCCTTCACGCCTTCACCGAGGCGAACCCCTTGGCTGGCCTCCCCGAGGTGACACAGTGGATCATTGACACGGAGGTCAAGCTCCGCACCCCCATTGTCAACCTCACCACCACTCACTCCTCCTCCGCCTCCCTCAATGCCACACAGCCGCGCACTCAGGGTGGTCGCACCGGCGGTAGCGGGGGTCGTGGAGGGAGTGGAGGTGGCAGTAGGGGTAGTGGCCGTGGTGGCCGTGGTGGTAGTGGTGGTGGTGGTGGTGGTCCTAGTGGCCCCGCTCCCGGAGGCTCCTCTAGTGCTGGTGGAGCTGTGAGCCGTGGTGGTGGTCGCCCTGGGACTCTTCCCCCCTGCACGTATGTTCGCCGCCACGGTCCCCACGCCGGCACGCCGTGTAGTCAGACCAACCACCCCCCTGCCACCTGCTTCAAGGCGCTTGATGACGCCTGGTTCGACCGCGGCAACACTGGTACCCCTCCTCGCTGGAACAGTGTTACCCCTCGCCCGTCCCTCGTGGACATCCAAACCCTCCCCTCCTTCCTCCCCGCTCACCTCCGTCTACTCACCCCTTCCCTCCCCTCCCAGCTCCAGCAGTTTCAGCAGCACCAGCAGCAGCAGCAGCAGTACTTCCCGCAGCAGCAGCAGCCGCAGTTTCTTCAGCAGCAGCAGCCGCCGCTCTTTCTGCCGCAGCAGCCCCCACAGCCGCAGTTCTTCCAGCAGCAGCAGCCGCAGCAGTACCTTCCTCCGCAGTGGCAGCAGCAGCCGATGACCTTTGGTGCAGCGGCCATGGCTGCTCATGCCTCCCTTGCCCCCCCTGCCTGGGGTTCCATTCCCTCTGGCCCCCCGAGTGTCCCTGACTCTCAGGGCAGTTTCCTTGGTCATATTGCTGCTGCACCTTCCGTCGCTTCCATGTATCCCTCTGCTATCAATGAAACGTCTTTCCAGTACCCCGTCTCACCCCCCCCCCCCTTCCTCCCCCACCTTGGACTTTGTCCTTGACAGTGGGGCCACAGAAACCGCACTCAAAGACGCTGGCACCCTCACCCCCCTCCCACTTCCTACCCAGGTTCATGGTGCTGACTCCAGCTTCTCCATCCCATGCACTCACCTCTCCACCCTCCCCTGCACCGCTTTCCCCTCCGGTAAGGTCACAAGTCTCCACATCCCTACCCTTCGCAACAACCTCCTCTCTCACCGAGAACTCCAAGGTGTCGGTATTACTGCCATTTACCCCGGCTTTGCCAATCACTGTGATCTTTACCAAACCTCCTCTGGTCGCTTTCTCCTGCGCATTCCCCTTTGCCCCCGCACTCGCCTTTACACGCTCCGCACACCCCGTCCCTCCTTTTGTCATGTTACCACTCGTGCTGGTACTTCCACCGGTCCTCCTCCCCCTCTCCCTCCCCCTCAGGTATCCCCCTCCCCTTCTTCACTTCCCTCCTCCCTCCCTTCTTCCTCCACCCCCTCCCCCTCCTCCTCCACTACCCTCTCCCACCCAGCAGTCATTCTGCATCACAGACTCGGCCATCCCAACTTCGCCGCACTTCGCACCACTGTCACCTCTCGTCTCCTTCACAGCCTCCCTCCCACCTTACCTCCCCTCCCCTCCTCTCCTGCCCCCCCATGCCCATCATGCATTCATGGCAAGCTTAAGCAATCCCCCCATCACAGCCATCCCACCTTTGCTGCTGCCCCCATTGACCTTGTCCACATGGATCTCTGGGGTCCCTATCCCTTCCGCTCCCGTCAGGGGCACCGGTACATGCTCGTCCTCGTTGACGACCACAGTCGGTACTCCACTGTCTTTTTCCTCCACACCAAAGATCAGGTCCCGGCTGTTGTCATCACCTGGGCTGAGCAGTGCCGCAATCACTTCAAACGCCCCATTGGCCGCCTTCACTCTGACGGTGGGGGTGAGTTCATCAACAACACCCTTGCTACCTTCTGCAAAATTCATGGCATCCAGCAAACTTCCACCCTCCCCCACTCCCCTCAGCAAAATGGCATTGCTGAGAGTCGCATCCGCGAAATCACCAAAATTGCCCGCTGCCTCATTGCCCACGCCTCCACCCCTCCCTCCCTCTGGAGCTATGCCCTTCTCCATGCCGCCCTCCTCCTCAATCTCCGCTCCCACCCTCAGCACCCCTCCTCTTCCCCCACAGAACTCTGGTCTAAGGCCAAGCCTGAGGCTGCCGGCCTTCGCGTTTGGGGCTGCAAGTCCTTCGTCCTCATCCCACCGGCCGATCGCTCCCGTGCCGCCGGCAAGCTCGCCCCCCGTGCCCTTGAGTGCGTCTACCTCGGGCACAATCGCGACTCCCCGGGCTACCTGTTCCTCCACCCTCCCACCAACCGCCTCATCCGCAGCATTGACGTCGTCTTCGACGAGTCCATCCCCTACTACTCCACTCCTCCTCCTGACCCTCTCCCTCCTCCCACTCGCCCCCTCGCCTGGACTGACACTGTCCTCCCACCTCTCCTCCCTCCCTCTCCTCTCCTCCCCCCCGTTGCCGCTCCACTCCCTTCGTCCTCCTCTGCTGACGTCTATGACCCCGCCGCACCCGCCTCCCCGGCCCACTCCGCTGCGCCCCCTCCCCCCTCTCCCTCCTCCTCTCACTCCCCCCCTCCTCTCCAACGACCGGGCCAGCAGCAGCAGCAGCAGCAGCAGCAGCAGCAGCAGCGGCAGCCGGGACAGCTGCAGCAGCAGCCGCCGGGGCAGCAGCAGCAGCAGCCGGGTCCGCAGCAGCAGCAGCAGTGGCAGCCGGGTCAGCAGCAGCAGCAGCAGCAGCAGCAGCCGACTCCACCGCGTCAGTAGCAGCAGCAGCAGCAGCAGGTCCAGCAGCAGCAGCAGCAGCAGCAGCGCTACCGAGCAACTTCCCGCTCCTCCCCTTTTCTCCTCCCTCGCATGCACACTCGCTCCCTTGACAAGGTCTTTGGAGCCCCTCCTCCCGCCTCCATTCAGCTCCTTGAGGACTCCCACAAGGAGTTCCTCGACATTCGGCACCACACTCCATTCCTTGCCTCCATCTTTCATGACTTCCTTGGTCTTCCCGTCCTTGGCGCCACCTCCACCCCTACCATCTTCACTCCCTCCACCTTTACAGAGGCCATCGCCTGCCCTGATGCGGACAGGTGGATTGCGGCTATCTTCCTGGAGTGTGAGGCCTTCATTCGCAACGACTCCTTCGTTGATGTCCCCCTCCCGGACGATGCCAACCTTGTCGAGGGCAAGTGGGTCTTTCGGGTGAAGCAGCTGCCCGGCGAGGATCCGGTCTACAAAGCCCGCTATTGCGCTAAGGGGTTCACCCAGACTTGGGCTGAAGATTACTGGTTCACCTATGCCCCCACCGCCAAGCCACCCACCCTCCGCACCCTCCTTGACGTTGGTGCACGCGACGACATGGAGATCTGTTCCATGGACGTCTCCAATGCGTTCCTGCAAGGGGACCTGCACGAGCGCATCTTCCTCCGGCGACCCCCCGGGTTCCACGCCGCCTTTCCGGATAACACTGTGTGGCAGCTGCGTCAACCTGTCTACGGTCTGAAGCAAGCATCTCGGGAGTGGCACGCGAAGCTGTCTACCACCTTGGGATCCCTTGGCTTCTCTGCCTCTCATTCTGACGCCAGTCTCTTCCTTCGCTCCTCCCCTCGCCGCTTCTTCATTCTGGTGTATGTGGATGACATGATTCTGCTCTCTGACTCCAAGACTGACATGGAGCAGATGAAGCAGCAGCTGCAGCAGCGCCTCAAGTGCAAGGACCTGGGCGACCTCACCCACTACCTTGGCATGGCTATCACTCGCGACCGTCCCGCTCGCACCATCACCCTCTCCCAGTCTCATTACATCGGCCTAATCTTGGAGAAATACGAGATGACTCAGGCCAGTCCCATAGCCACCCCCCTCCCTTTCGGCCACCAGCTTGCTCCACCAACCTCGCCCTCCTCCTCCTCTCACCCTTATGCTGAGCTCGTTGGGTCACTGATGTACGCTATGATGTGCACCCGTCCCGACCTCGCCTACCCCATCAGCGTGCTCGCTCGCTTTGTTGGCCCTGGTCGCCACTCCGAGGTGCACTGGAAAGCTGCTAAGCGGGTCCTCCGCTACCTTCGCGGCACCAAGGACCACGCTCTCACTCTTGGTGGCTCCTCCCCTCCCCTCCTTTCGGGCTTTAGCGACTCCTCCTGGGCCGACTCGCAGCCTGACCGCCGCTCCTCTCAAGGCTACGGCTTCACCCTCGGCAGCGGCCTAGTTAGCTGGCGCTCCACACGCTCCTCCTCCGTTTCTCTCTCCTCCTGCGAGGCTGAGCTCTACGCTGGCACCATGGCCGCCCAGGAGTCCCGCTGGCTCTGCTTTCTTCTTGCTAAGCTTGGCGCCCCTCAGCCCTGCCCCACCCTCTGGTGTGACAACGCCAGCACCATCCACCTCACTCAGGACCCTGTCTACCACGCCCGCTCCAAGCACATCAAACTCCGCTACTTCTTCATCCGCGAGCTCGTCCAGCGCGGCCTTCTTGCTGTCCGCAAAATTGCTGCTGAGGCCAACTTGGCCGACATCTTCACCAAGGCTCTCCTTCGCCCTGCGCACTCTGCTCTCCTCCGTCTCATCGGTCTTGCTCGCCCGGGCGCCCCCTGATTCAAGGGTTGCTCCCTTCCTGTGTTAGCCTGCTAAGGGGTTGTGTTAGAATTGCCATATTCTAGCATGCTAACACTTGTGACTGTACACCAATTGTGGTGTACAGTTGGGTTGGGACTACACCCAACTTTGGGTGTAGTCTTGCACTTTGGGGTGCCAATCCAACCCAATTGTGGTGGAGCCCCCAAATGCAACCCATTGGGCCATAGGTTGGCCCACTCTCACAAAGTAAGGGCCAACCCAACCCAATGGGCCATAGGTTGGCCCACTCTCACAAAGTGAGGCCAACCCAACCCAATGGGCCATAGGTTGGCCCACTCCCCCAAGTATGGCCAACCCAACCCAATGGGCCATAGGTTGGGCCACTCCCCCATTCCCACCTCCCTCCTTTCCCTTCCAACCTACTCTTCCCAAAGCTATGTATGCTTGCAAACTCTCTAATGAAGTTAATGCTTGAGTTTCCTTTCTTCACAGAGTGTACCCGAAGGAGCCACCTGCCGCCCTCCTCTCTACTCTCTCTCCCTCCAGCGCCTGTCGTTGTGGGGGAAAGGGGGGAGTGTGAGGGGGTGGCGAGAGAGATTCTGTTGAGCCAGCAGCCGCCCCTCCTACTCTCTCTCTCACAGCTGCATGTGCCACTGTGGGGGGGAGGATGGTGGCTGAAGTCAGCCAGGCATCTGCAGCTGCCGCCCGCTGCTACCGTGGTACCTCCAACCGCCGCCCCTGCCTCCACCTGCTATTTTCTTTTGTTTTCTGTCTGCTGCTGTTGGTTGGCAGGTGTTGCCGTTGAGCCCTGCTGTGCCGCCGCCCTTGCCGCCGCACGCTCCTGCTCTCCAGGCGGCCTGCCACCACATGCACCTGCTTCTGCTATGCCGCCGCCCTTGCCGCCGCCCTTGCCGCCGCACACTCCTACTTCTACTGCTTCAACCTTGGCGGAGGGGTTGGTGAAGTTGAATCTGTTACCACTGCAACGGTTGTCACTGCTCTTGCCTGCCGTTGCTGTTTTCTCTGCACTTGGTGTACCCCTGCAGGAGGAGTACTGCACATGGTTCTAGCTGTAGGCATTTAGAGGGTGTGTTGAAATGTATTCGTTTACATTTATAATTGCCTGCAGTAGAACCTAGTGTAGTTATGAAATCTTGCAGGTGGTGTACAATTCTTTCCTCTTTTGCCTATATCTTGTACCCTTGTTCATTATTGAAACCCTCTTTTGACAAACCTCTCTCGACA